AGTCGGCTTCCAAGTATTTTTCCGGGATTGAGTTCTTGATGTAAATTAATGCGATTAATTTATTCGTGCATAAATTAATATAATCTATATAGTATCTCAAAAATTTTATGAAAATTTTTGTTATACACGATCCGCCTCCCCGCCAAGCTTCCGCACCCGAATTCGATTCGGGAGCCAGCAATTGGTATCAGAGCGGTCTATAGACGATATTAATTTATGCTTTGATTATTTGATAATCAGAATTGATATATTAAATATGCGATATTTAATTATGTATGTATGTGATGGGTAGGCACTTGCATTTATGGATGTTTATTTTAATTCATGATGATGAATGTATGGATGGTGGATTTGGTCGTCAATTATATGGTTCCATGGATCAGTTATATTTATTCATTGATTAAATTATTTGTAATTTTATTCGGGATTAGAATTATTGTAATTCTAGGTTTTGGATAGAATTAGGGTTTTTGATTATGAATCAAAAAGGAGGCCTTGAAGATCAAGTTTGAAGCCTTCAAAGAAACCCAGAAAATTTCTAGAAATCGGCCAAAGCGCGCGCCTCAGCGCGGCCCCAGCGCGCGTGTCACGCCCCCCAAACGGGGTGGGTAACGTGGAGCTCAATTTGGGATTAATAAAGCAGGTTCCCAACCGGCCCCCACACTTAACTGCATTAAAATATAAATAAATTACATTACAGAATCCCGGAGCCTCTGACACACAGGGCTCCACCCCACAGGACATACAATATCGTACATACATGCTCATGTAAATAATCATTACAACAGACATCAACCACAGTCTAGTAAATCCAAATATTATATTGGAAGACTTTGGTATTCTAAACACAAAGCTTGGAGCAAGGACTGTTCGTGGTCAAAGAAATTCAAGTTATCATCCGAGTCGGCTTCCAGGTATTTTTCGGTTGATCCTTGAATGATGTAAATTAATGTGATTAATTTATTCGTGCATAAATTAATATAATCTATAGAGTATCTCAAAAGTTTTATGAAAAATTTTGTTATACACGATCCGCTGTTTTTCATCCCCACGCTTCCGCACCCGAATTAGATTCGGGAACCAGCACTGTGCACCGCTCCTTGAATCTCCTGGGAGGGGTTTAGTACATTTAAAACATAAAACGTGAGCGAAAGGCCCAGTAGGATATAATTTGAAATAAACGTTATAATAAATATGCGAGGGAATACATAAATGAATAAGTAAATAAAATAAGACATTCAGTCCCGACAAAACAACCGGAACCTCACATCATTTTTCTCAAAGGAAATGTAACTGAAAATAATTGTTTTACAGGCTTTAGCAAGTAATCAGTACAAATTACTTACCTAACCAAGTGCCTCGCCTACCCGGACTGAGTTTCGGGTTCCGCCCCCGAGGATGCACTCTCCGCATCCTATCTAGGCTTACAGCAATAGACTCTATTACCAGTTCACAAGATCTCTTTGCTTAAGAAATCATTCATTAACATTTTGAAATCGTTAATACGACCCCACGAACTACTCAAGCCGTGGGCCCCATGACTGGACAAGCCGTGAGGTTCCATGACTAAACAAGCCATGGTTTTCAAAATGTTTTTCTTTCGCAAACCAATCCCTTTCTTTAAAACATTTTCAAGGCCGAAATCCTTTTTGAAAACAGGCTCACAAGGAAAAAGGGATAGAAATCCTACCTCGCACTATCAAACCTGGGACTAGCGTTGCCTTTTTCGGCTTCCGCTTCCTCAAGCCCCTTCAGTCTGAATCCTCAGCGATCACTGATGCAAGACAGCACTTTAGGATCAATTTTCATTCCTAAAGCAATCTAAATCTCAATTTTCAACCAAGATTTCTTATTAGTGTGCCATAATCCATTTTCATGTTTCAAATTATCATTCCAAGGGTTTTTAATCTCAAAACAAGGATTAACAATGCTAATCCATTTATCTCAAGTCCCCAAATGAAGCTAATTTGGGTTCTCCCCGAAAACATGGGTCAAAACAACAATTCCAGGCCAAACAGGGTCAAACTCCGTGTCAACCGGTGACAGAGCAGTGCAACACTACCGGTCAACCGGTAGTGTGCACACCGGTCGACCGACCGGTCAACCTACAGTCTGGTCGAACGCATAGGTCGACCGGTTTCCATGTGATCTGGTCGACCGGTTGAATCAGCTGCGCGAGATAAACTCACGAAAATCAATCCAAAACCTGCAAATGCAGTCCCAAATCAAAATATTTCAAAGGGAAACCACGAGATCTGGGTTCTAGGTCCTAAAACAAGTCCAAAGAACCCAAGATCTCCAATTTCTACTTTAGTTTTACTCAAAAACTATCAAAATTCGGTTTGAACCAAAAATAAGTTTTGAAATCTAAAAAACTTGAGATTCAAGAGAGGTTCTTTCAGTAATCTTACCTCGAATCCTTCTCTTGATGTTGAAAACACTTTGAAACTCATCTTTGGCTCAAAATCCGTTTGATTTGGGACACAAAACGGGAGTGAGAGAGAAAGAGAGTGAGCGGGAGAGGAGAGTGAAGGAGAGGGAGAGAGTACACGGGAAAGGAAAGAGAAAGGAAAGGAAAAAGGAAGGAAAAAGGAAAAGAAAGGAAAAAGAAAAGAAAAGGAAAAAGAAAAAAAAATGACATGTGTACAATGTTTTAAAAGAACAGTCCAGAAATGCGCCCATACACACTTCTGATTTAAAATAAATTATTAAGAATAATTTAAATACCTTGGAACTATTTAAACTCACTCGTGTTAGAAACATTTATTAATTAAACTCAATTAATAAT